GATGAGTTATATTTTACCTTGAGTCACCATAATATATTTTACGTATATTTTGATTTACCATAATTTATTTTATATAAGTTATGTTTTATAAATTATATTAATATTTCAATTGCGTGGATTATTTTCTGAACCCTGTTTATTTAAAATGAAATCCATGGATATGTTTGTTATATTTTGAAAAATATTTGACTATGACTTTATAAACAATTATGTTTTGTAAGTATCACCACGTGAGTCCCACGTCTTAGGGGACTTAAATAACCATTGGCCTCTGTTTGGTCACTTTGTGGCATCTGTTGTCATGGATCTATTGACCTCTGTTCTGTGCAGAGCAAAGTGCTGTGCGGAGCTAAGTGCTATACTATTGTGGGAGTCACCTCTATAATCTGTACGAGCCACCTCTTGAATCCGTATCTCTATTCTCTATTCTGACTGTCACTCCTGTGACCTCTGTTCTGTTCTGTTCGGTACCGTGGTTATGGTTATTTATTTACATAATCTCAGTTTTGCTACTTAAATGATTATTTGTTCGGACTAAGTTATCTTAAATATTTTAGTTACATAACTATCCATGATTATTTTGTGTCCCTTATATTCTTAGCATAATATTTATCACTCTGCCATGTGCTTATAGCTGTTTACTAATTTTCAGGAAATAATGCAATTCAGAAATGACTTTTGGAAGGTCTTAGACGCGGGGCTGCGGAATAGACACACACAACACTTTTATGGTATTTTTATATGTAAATATCGGCCTTTTTGGTCAATAAACTTTGTAATAAAAATAGAAACTCCGATAATTATTTTGGTACCCTCACTTAAATATTATTTCCCCTCGTGTTTAATTATTTGATCAAGAATTGGCCGGAGGTAACTTCCGTTATCGGCCATCACGATACTTAACCCTTGGGTACTAGGAGTGCGTTATGACAAATGGTATCAGAGCAATGGTTTATAAAAAATAAATAAATAAAACGAATCATCATTGGAGCATAGGACACACGCACATTTAAGAAGTAGGATAGCGGGTAATTAGTACTTAAATATTATATTTTGTTAGTCGATTTAATTATATTATAATTTTATATGATCTTAATTATATTATAATTTTATATGATTATATATATATATATATTATTTTTTTGTGTGCATAATTTGTGAAGGATAATAGATATAATTTATATTTGTTATAGCAAAAGAAAGAAAAGAAACAAAGGGTGTCGGGCTCAAGTACCCACTAAAATTATAATATAATTAAATACATATAATTTCCGGTTTAGTATTCAAAAAAAAATTTCATTTCGACTTTTTAAAGTGGGTTCAAATTATAAAGATACTAATTTTAAAACTATTTTCCATCAGTGAAAAGTTCATAGACAAAAGAAATAGGAGTTCATCTCAAACTCCTTGAACTTTTGTATATGATTTTGTCATTTTATTTCCAGTCGCTTGTTTAATTGTGTTCTTATTTTATTTTATTTCATTACAAAACTAATGAAAAGTTTCTAAAGTCACCGATTGTTTCTCATTTTGATCCAAAATAATTTTTGACAAATAAACAGTGAGTTATTTTTGGTAAGTTTTTTTTGAGGTAATATTTTCTATCAGATTAATCATCTAATATATATTTATTAGAGTGTGCAGCGGATAGTTTACACATATGACAAATTTTGAGGATGAAATTTTTAAAAGGAATGAAGATTATAACAACCCAAAAATTTAAGTTGTCCCTTAAATTTTATATTAGTATTATGGTTATATGTGATAATATATTATTAAAAATAAATAAATATAACAATGGTGATAATAATAATAATAATAATAAATAAATAAATATATGAGATAAGAATAATAATGATAATTAATAATAAGCATACCAAAGTGATAAGGCTAACATTAATTAACAAACAATTAATTAAGGAATTTGTAAATCTCTCTAGGGAAAAGAGGTTACGCCACCTGTGTTATCTAGGCTTAGGGGAGGTGAGTCACCATGATTAGGCATCTTGTGCTTGTGTATATATAAGAGGATGGGGGGCTGCCAATTGAGTGAAAGGAATGAGGGAAAATGAAGCGAAGAAAAGGGAAAGAAAATAATGAAAGTTGGAAGAGTTTTTAGTAGTGAAAAAAAAAGAGTAAGGTATTACTTTTAAGGTGAGTTATATTATACCTTGAGTCACCATAATATATTTTATATATGTTTTGACTTACCATAATTTATTTTATACAAGTTATGTTTTATAAATTATATTAATATTTTAATTACGTGAGTTATTTTCTGACCCCTGTTTATTTAAAATGAAATCCATGGATATATTTGTTATGTTTTAAAGAATATTTGATTATGACCTTATAAATAATTATGTTTTGTAAGTACCACCACGAGAGTCACATATCAAATAACTATTGGCCTCTGTTTGGTCACTTTGTGGCCTCTGTTGTCATGAATCTATTGACTTCTGTTCTGTGCGGAGCAAAGTGCTACACTATTGTGTCAGCCACCTCTATAATCCGTACGAGCCACCTCTTGAATCTGTATCTCTGTTCTAACTGTCACTCTTGTGACCTCTGTTCTGTTCTGTTCGGAACCGTGGTTATGGTTATTTATTTACATAATCTTAGTTTTGCTACTTAAATGATTATTTGTTCAGACAAAGTTATTTTAAATATTTTAGTTACATAACTATCCATGGTTATTTTGTATCCCTTAGACTCTTGGCATAATATTTCTCACTCGACCATGTACTTATAGTTGTTTACCAATTTTCAAAAAAATGCAATTCAGAAATAGCTTTTGGAAGGTCTTAGACGCGGGACTGCGGAATAGATATACACAACACTTTTATGATATTTTTATATGTAAATATCGGCCTTTTTGGTCAATAAACCTTGTAATAAAAATAAAAGCTTCGATGATTATTTTGGGACCCTCACTTAAATATTATTTCCCTTCGCGTTTAATTATTTGTTTAAGAATTGGCCGGAGGTAACTTCAGTTACTGGCCATCACGATACTTAACCCTTGGGTACGGGGAGCAGGTCGTGACACCTACATTTTTTTTCCAAAGCATTTGAGTTTGAATTGGCCAATTGCGTTTGTTTTTAAAGCTGTGATTTGTGTTTGATGATTAGAAATTCAAGTTCAAAATTATTTTTATGGATATTTGGGTTGCATTATGTGAAAATAAAGTTAGATTTTGAAGAAAAGGAGGTCCAAAAACAAGAGCAATTTTCGAACTCAACATTATCTAGCATCGCATGTGCAGCCTGGGGCCCTGCACGTGCAGAAAACAAAACAGATATGAGCTTGCACACTGCTTTAATTGTACGTGCGGGGCGCACGTGCGGTGGCAGTTCCGCACATGCGGCCAGTGCCCTTGCACGTGTAATTTTCAGGTTAGTCCAATTTCGTTTTCGCTCCATTTTTATCAACTTCCGGGCCTCCGTTAACATGGTTTTCGCATGTATTTTACGTTCATATGCATTTCATGGACATGAAAGAGAATAAAGAATGGATAAGACTAAATGAATGAATAAACATCGAATAGGTATATGGCCGATTGAATAAATTGAATGTAAATTTGAGTTATTGTGCTTGAATTTGGTTATGTAAGTCGGATGCCGCATCTTAGTCACGTGTTTTAGGAAGCCAACTGTGAGTAATAACGTTGTAAAGCTATGTTTAATTATAATTATTTTCTTATTGATAAATTGCACTGTCTCTGAAATGTTTCTGTTTACTAAATAAATGATTGTCCTATTTTATGAACTGTGTTCATGGCATCCATAGCAACCGTTATTGCTACTGTTTATTATTACTGTTACTGTTACAGAGATCTCTGTCAGTTCTAATATTTGGAACTACTATTTACTGTGTTGATGGCCATCATACATGACTGATTCGATCTTTAAGACCTACTGTATTGTTCTGCTATTGGATGTACCACCTATGACTGTTATGATTCAGAATGACTGATATGTTATGAGATATTGATTGAGAAAATGATTTATTGATGAAATTGACTGTTTCAATTACTGTAAGGATATAATTCATAACCCCTTTACATAGTTGTTATTCATTGGGCTCTAGCTCATTATTTTATTATATCTATGTAGGCGATCAAGCACAGGATCAAACTTAGTGGCTTGACCTGAACCTCATTTTGTCAAGCCAACTATCGTGCTTCACTACGAGATTCCAAACCAATCTGTAAATGTGAATTAATGTTATGAAGTTTTTGTTTACGACTTTTGATAATGTGATTTAATTCTCTAAGTTATGTTATGCTTTGTACATATGTATTGACATGGACTTAATATAAGAGTTTGTTTAGTTCATTTAAGTCCTCACAGCTCATTGGGCGATACATTATATTCTTTATTGGCTTCTGCCAGCCCCGCTTACTGTATTACTATAAAGCAAACTTTTGGTAATCTCAAATTACTGACCGGTTATAACGCTAAACCTATAGGGACGGGTTTGGGTCGTGACAACTATCTCTCTGATTGAAGTGACATTGAGATTAGAATCTATATGATGAAATGTTAAATAAATTAAAATTAGACACTTGTTAGATACATTATAAGGGATGATTTGTAGGAGTAATAAATTAGGTGTCTCAAGCATTTTTCATACAATTGGATGTTTAGAATTTGCTTATTTGATATTTTTTAAGCTTATTTTTATCTCTAGTGAATTTAAAAAAAAAAATTCAAAAAATTAGCCTTCTAGATTTAAGTTGTCTAGACAAATCAAAAAATTTAAAAAAAATTTTAAAAAATTCAGAAAAGACAAAAAAAAAAAAAAAGAGAAAATTTTTTAAACTTATTTTAACCTTTTCAATTTTTTTTATAGAATTTTTAAAAATATTTTTACTTTTTAATTTGTTTACACAAGATAAATTGAAAAAGTAAAAAATTTAATATAATTTAAAAAAAATATCACTAAAAAAAAAATAAAAAACCGGCTTTTTTAGGTGTTCCAAACGATCACTATTACATTCCATCAAAATAAACTCTTTCAATTCTCTTTCACATCCCACAACTCTCTCTCCAACTCAAGCAGAGCAAAGCAAAAAAATATGTCCATTCAAGCTCTTTCTCTCTCCTCTCTCATGACTTTCTTCCTCACCACCTCAATTCTCACACAACCATCAACCTCGGCCATAGAATCCTTCATATACGGTGGTTGTTCTCAGCTCAAATACACCGAAGGCACACCCTACGAGTCCAACGTCAACTCACTACTCACTTCCCTGGTTAACTCAGCCTCCTTCGCCACCTCCAACAAATTCAAGATCTCCGTCCCAGGCTCCGCCCCAACCGATGTCGTTTACGGCCTCTTCCAATGCCGCGGCGACCTCCGAAACTCCGACTGCCGCGACTGCGTCGCCCGCTCAGTGAGTCAACTCGGCAACCTCTGTTTTGACTCAACGGGTGGCGCGTTGCAGCTAGAAGGGTGTTTCGTGAAGTACGATAATATTTCCTTTTTGGGTGTCGAGGACAAGGCTGTGGTGTTGAAGAAATGTGGGCCGTCGATTGGGTATGATTCTGAGGCGTTGACTCGTCGTGATGCTGTGATGGATTATCTAGCGGCTGCGGGGCAGTTTTTTAGGGTAGGTGGGTCCGGGAATGTACAGGGTGTGGCGCAGTGTGTACAAGATTTGGATCTGAGCGAGTGTCAGGATTGTCTATCGGAGGCGATCGGACGGTTGAAAAGCGAGTGCGGGTCCACGGCTTCGGGTAATATGTTTTTGGGGAAGTGCTACGCGCGGTACTCGGAGCGTGGGGTCTCGTCCAAGAGCGGTAAGGGGTTGCTCCACCACCATCACCACGGCGGATGTTGGTGGCTTGTGGTTAGTGGTCTTGTGTCAATTTGGCCATTATTAATGAAAATTTAATTTAAGTGAAAAAAATTAAAATTACTTTTATCCACTTCAATCACATTGAATTTACCTTTTTCTCCGTGTGATTTGTGAATTAATGCAACAATCTGCATGGTAATTTTGGTAAATTTGATGTAATTGAGAAGGTGTTTTTTTTTGTAAAATTTTCTTGTGTGATTTAGAGTGTGGATGTTGTAGAAGACACATGTTTAAGAAGTTTGTTTTTGGATGTAAAAATATGACCAAATTACTTTTATTTATTTATTTATGGTTTTTTGTTTTTTCAAGATGCAAAATTTCTCCATTACACAAATTAATAGAAGATATTATTTCATGATCAATAGTTATAAAAGAGTCACAATGACATATTATTATTTTAATTTTAAAAATAGTTAAGAGAATTTTAAAATTGAAATTGACATAATAATTATAGATGCTATATATCTTTCTAAATAAACTTTTCCATATCAAAATTTCCATAGTTCTCAAGATTTTGCATAATAATATTTAGTTTAGTTATACTACTTCTCTCTCTTGGTTTATCCAGTGAATTATAGTAGTTGATTGGTGGTTGTGCATCGATGTGATTTATTACATGAAATATTATTTAATGTTAAAACTAACACTGTATTATTGGATTCATGCAATGGATCCATATGAGATATATATTAAGAAAAGTCTTTTAATTATATGGAAAATACTTTTAAAACAATATAATGTTGACATTTTTAAAATTAAAACCCATCTCAAATAATGGATGTTTTCAAATGAATGTACCAAGTTCAATCACATTATTCTATTTTTCTCTATATATAACATAACTTAGAGATATTATAAGATGAATACTTTTTAATTCTAGTGTCACTAATATAACGAAAAATGTTCTGTCCTATGTATCTTAATCTTATTGCTAAGCATATACAAACATCTCAAAGAGAAACATAAAAAGCATCTTGGTTGATGCAATTAATTACATAGTTGGAATTTGTTCAGGGATGATCTTATGCTTAATCATACGATATTTAAATACATTTTAAATTGTCAAAGTAGTTAATAGTTTACTATGTCAAAAGGAAAAACTTCCTTTTAAGAACTTTACTTTTGGCTGGTCACTAAGCCAAACAAGGCCCCACACTGATATACATGCTACCGTGGGAATCAAAGAATCCAATGCCATAGGGATGTGCTTGAACACTGTTTGATTTTAGTCTTGAAATGCCTCTCATTTTCTTTAACCCAATTCTTAATCAAGATTTTGAGGAAATCATATCATTGTAGCTATTGAAAATGGAACCAAAAAAAAAAAAAAAAAAAAAAAAAAAAAAAAAAAAAAAAAAAAAAACCAAAAAAAAAAAAAAAAAAAAAAAACC